CCAGAAAAACACTTTCAAGTAGTGACAAAAGGTCTGACACACAAAAGAGTTCATGATCCCTTAAGCCCCATGAAACCCAAAGTCCCAATTCAGAGAAAATGGAGAAACAAATGTTGGAAGAAAGTGAGAGATTACTTTATCTTTGTAGAGAGAAAGGGAAAAGAGAGAAGGGAAAATGTCCTTAAGGGCAGAATTGCCCACCTAGATGTCTTCCCAAAACAAAACAGAAGTACCAGAATTGGCATCATACCTGATAAAGTTGAGGAAATGAGGAAGGATACTCTGAATTGCTTTCCAAGGAGTTGCCAATGTGGCTCGACGCGATACGCCAACATCCTATCCATTTCCCAAACTGCTATGTATACTATCTATCACCTCATGCCACAATCTCTCCTGTTTTAAGGGCCACCTCCACAACCATTTTCTGAAGAGAGCTTTATTCTTCAAAACTAAATTCCCTAGTCCCAGCCCACCCTCCTCTTTCCTCCTACACACTATTCCCCAATTTATTAGATGATCCTTTTTTCCCTCCCCTGGCTCCCAAAGAAAATTTCTCATTAATCTCTTCAACTTCTTGGCCTCCCTAACAGGAATCCTGAACACAGAGAAGTAATATATCGGTAAATTTGCTAGGGAAGCTTTCAGTAATGTTACTATACCCCTTAAAGAAATATAGTTCCTTTTCCACGAAACTAACATTTTCTCAAACTTTTCCAGAACCAGAGCCCAAAAGGTGCTCTCCTTAGGGTTCACTCCTAGAGGTAGACCTAATTACTGTAAGGGCCAAGAGGAAATGGGACAACCTAGACACTCACCACGCAACTTTTATCCATGTTTGTTTTTAGATTGGATACTCTCTCAAAGTGTTTTATCAGAGATTTGAGGTTCCTTGCTGTTCTCCTATCACCCCCTTCACAAAAGATTATTAGGTCATCAACAAACTATAAGTGGGTCACCTTGATTTCGTTCCTTCCTATCTTCCAACCTCTCACTACTCCTTCCATGTCTGCCTTAGAGATCAAACTGCTGAAAACATCTACAACTAGGGTGAAGAGGAAAGGGGGTCACCTTGCCTTAGACCTATAAAAGCTAGGAAAAAATCCTTGACTACCCCATTAACCAAGACCGAAAAATGGCAAGAACTTATGCAGCCTTTTATCCAATTACACCGTCTAACTCCAAACCCACAACACCCTAGTACCTCTAATAAAAAGCTCCAATCCACAAAATCATAGGCCTTTTCTAAATTCAGCTTACAAACAAAACCTTGATTTTTCGGACTTTCTCATATCCTCCACACACTCATTAGCTATTAGGATCTGATCCGTTATTTGTCTCCCTTGCACGAATGCTCCTTGGGCTTGACTAATGATAGAGGGCAGCACTACTTTAATCCTCAAAGATAACACTTTATACATGAATTTTGTAAATGCTAGTCACCAAGCTGATCGGCCTAAAATCTTTAGGATTTTTTTCTTCTTTCTTCTTAGGGATTAGGGCTATGAAAGTAGCATTAACTCCAGGGCTTACTTTATTATTGTCCTCAAATTCCTTAAACACAGCACAAAGGTCTTCTCTTACCACATTCTAACAGTCTTGATAAAAAGCATGGTGAAACCATCTGGTCCAGGAGCTTTGGATCTTTCCATTGAAAACACTGCATGCCTAATTTCCCCTTCTTCAAAACTTCTCTCTAACCAGATTGCTTGCTCTTCAGACAGTTTAGGCCAATCTAAACCTTCCAGCCTTAGTCTATTGTTCAATGGCTTCCCTACAATTGATTTGAAGTGATCCACCAATAGTTTGTCCATCTCATCTTGGTTCGTGACTTCCTCTCCACCCACTTCTAATTTGGCCACACAGTTTTTTCTTCTTCTCCCATTAGCCAACGCATGGAAAAATTGTGTTGCCATCCCCTTGTTGATCCATTTGTGTCTTGACTTTTGCCTCCAGGAAATCTCCTCTCTAAGAACTTCTTCCAATTCCTTTTTTAAGCTTCTTCTCAAATTCCTTTCTTGCTCATTCATGATTTGTTGAGATTCTTTGGAGTCTAGATCATCAATCCTGGACAACAAATTATTCTTTTGTTCCTCTATCTTTCCAAAATGCTCCCAATTCCACTCTTTAATCTTGGCTCTCAATCTCTTCAACTTTTTGTGGAACCTTACACCTTTCCACTTTACCCCTTTCAATCCTTCATTCCACCACTCACCAACCAATCGTTCAAATTCCAAATGAGTCAGCCACATATTCTCAAATCTAAAGGGCTGTGGTCCAAAGCCTAGAGTTTCTTGACCTAATAGGATAGGGCAGTGATTAGAAGTAACTCTAGGAAGAGTTCTAGCCACCAAATTCCTCCAATGATCCTCCCACTCTACATTAAAAAGGAACCTATCAAGTTTGGAGCAGAGAGGGTTTTCTTGGAAATTAGACCAAATAAAATTAGCTTGTAGAAGGGGTAATTCCTTTAGACCAAAGGTGTTAATTAAGTCATTGAAATTTCTCATGCTTGTAGAAATTGTCCTTTGGGGATTATTTGATTCAGTTAACATTCAAGTGAATCCGTCCTCCACATTTCTGAATTTTAAAGACAGAGAATCTCCCTATAAGTTCTTCCACTGATTCTACAACATCCTCCCTCCACAGGGTAACTATCCTTCCCAACCAGCAGACTCCTCTTGATTTCCAGACACTTCTGACCCATCTTCTATCCTATTCTGCCAAATTGGTTTCCTGTAAAATGACTATATCAGGTTTCTCTCTTCTCAGCAGATCTTTAATTGCCCTTCTTTTTCTTGCACTCCCTAACCCTCTCACATTCCAACTAATGATTTTCATTGGAAGACTCCTTTCAGACGCCCCTTTCTAACCCGGTTCCATCTCACAAAGAACCCTTCCTTCTCTCTCCCCTTCCACTAAACTCGATATCACCCTCTATATCTGAGATTAGTCTCTCCACCTCTGATCTCTTTTTCTTTTTCTTTTTCATATTCCCCTGTCTTTTTAGCCAACCCACTGACTTAACCTAGAACTTGTGTAACACTCCTTGTTCTGAGGACTTGCTTCATATTCCCTGCCATCTAATCCCTCCTCCATTGCTTTATACTCCTCCAATAATGCACAGATCTGCTCCCATATTCTTTCTAATTCTTCCTCCCGCTTTTTCTTAACCTCCAACTCTACCTCACTCCTCTCACCTTCACCAGTGCTAAGCTCTCTGCCATCTTCCCCGCCTAATAATTCCTCTCGGGATGCTGGAGTATCTGGAGTGATGTTAATACTTAAAAGGGCGCTTTTTGCCTCAGTCATATACAATCTCTGTATATGTGCTGTCCATTCTAATAAAATTAAAAATCTATAGTTACTAATAAAAAAGCAATTTGGAACTTGACATAAACAGAGCTAAAATATTAATATGTAAAATGAAACATCTAGGGATGAGACAGTAACACAGATACACTCAGAGGGTCTGAACTGGATCCTGGAAGCCCCTCTATTTATCCATTGCTCTTTCGTATGAGCATATCCCTTACCTAAGATGTATGTAGTTGGAAGTTCCATTTAGCTATTGTTCATGATCAGTTGCAAGAACATGGACCAGAACTAATTCTTTTCCTTTCTTATATTATATATAGCTAATTACCTTAATATTCTTCATTATTAATTTAACCAATGAAAATGGCAGCAGAGCAAACCATCCATGGTATTGAAGCATAAATTTGTTTTCAAAATGGAAATTTTTGTTCCGAACTCTTATAATGTCGGTGAACCTATTCTGTTTAAAGTTGTTCTCTTGTTTGCGCTTTTAAATGCTATTCAGTCTTCAAGCATAACAGAAGAAAAAAGGGAAAGGGAAGAAATTAGAGAGGAGAGAGAAATTTGTCTCTCCCTCTGGTGGTCGGATCATATTTTTACTTTAAGATAGAGTATAAATGACTAATCTGCCCCTAATTAAGTTGGGACAGATGACTAAACAGGGACAGACTTGTAATGTTATACTTGTAACATAAAAAAGATGACAGGACACAAAGACTCTACTTTACACCCTTCTTAACAATCCCCCTCAAGTTGGAGTATGGATATCAGTATATCACAGCCCCAGTCGATCAAAATAAAGTCACGCAACCCCAGCATTTTTTTACACACCAGACTAACACAGCCTGGCCCCCAAAGAGTCTATTATATTATAGCCCAAATCACCTGATTTCTAGTGATCCCTTGCTTGACTAATAAATTTGCCAAGCTATCTGTGATCTTTTGACCCAAGAAAATGTTGCTTCAACCTCCCTAGCAATGCATCCGATCTCCCTCAGAATCTGTCTGCCAGTCCAAACACCTTGATTTTTGTTTTACAACCATCTGAAATGTACCTGCTTTACTAGTGTCATACCATACAGTTGTAATTTCTGCTTTTAGGGTGTCTCCAGTCCCTATTGGACCCAAATATAGGACCTTGATTGATTAATTCCTGTCCCTTATTACACTTATTCTAGAAGGATCTGGATTACCTTGAAAGCTTCCATCAAAATTCAGCTTCATTCTACATATTTACATAGATGCATGTGCATAGATATAGGTGTTATTAAAAAATTAACCTAAAATAAAAAATACAGTAATTTGTAATGTTTGACTATGATACCTGAAAAACTTAGAGCCAAATGGTATCATAAAAGGGGTGATCAATCAGGTGGTATTCATCAAAATTCACAGGAGTGCTTTGATTGGTCAAATTACTTCTGTTACTGTCTTTCTGGTATCATTTGCCTAACTGTTTGTATTTATTTATACTGGCTAATTCGCATGTATGAATGATATATTATGTAATATGTTCTATACATATAATGATAATTTCATGTTTTTGGGTGTTTAATTTATTATAATATTTTTTGCTATAATAATTTTATATAATCTATCATCATATTTGGTAAAGTAATTTATTATATTATAACTTCCCTACTCACTTTCTCAACTGTAAGTTCAATTTTGTTGTTATATTGCAGATACCTGTAACACTTGTTGAGTACTCCATGAACGCAGTTACAGAAGGAATTGATGCAATAGCCTCCACACGAGTTGTAATCCGTGGAGAGGATGCTCATACAGTAAAGCATGCTCTTTCGGGGCAAATAACTCAACGTACTTTCAGGTTTGACAAGCTCATAGATTTCTTCATTCTTCATACGACTCGTTTACTCATTCCCTTGTTAATCTTGAATTCTTTAGTTTACTAACATCCTTTCATCTTTTTCCTTCATTTCTTTAGTGGAACTGGGGCAGGGATGGATATAGTTGTTTCCAGTGTCCGTGCCTATGTCGGTGCACTTAACAAGGTGTTGGGCTTTCAGAGCGTAAGATGCACAGTGAGTTCAGAAGCGTCTGCGTGACGTGGTTCAGGGGTTCGTTTCTTAAGAAATTTGCATTTTAAATCTTACATGGATTATTTGTTGTCTAAATTTTGCTATTCATTTGTATGTTTTGTAAGAAATTGTCTATACTCTACATTAGAACCAATGTTTTAAAATCCGACTGGTGGCTAAGGTTTTTCTTTTTTTAGTTTTTTCATTTTTAAAGTAGGCTGATTCATTCAATCATTTTGTACTCGGAATACATCTCAGCGGTAAGTCGGAACAGTATCAACCAGCTAATTTACCGAATTAGATGGCTTTGAGACAACAAATTTAGATGAGCCACGGTATTTGCACTTCTAGATTTCTAGGGATACAATTGATAAACCGAGTACTTCAGGCTAGCCAATAATGTTCTGCAATCAGCAATTACGTGCCTAGTGCACCATGGAGGATCCAAAGAGGCCACTTAACATTTAATGCATCGCCTTCTATATAGTACAGAACCTATGTCGACAGAAAATTTGATGCCCTCAAAACATGTTGATTGTTGAAATTTTAAGGTTTAAAATTTTGATATGTACCGGACCATATCAGCCATATCGGAGGGCTTCCTGATACGCTCTTACATTGTTGAAAAAATGAATCAATCGACAAACTGATCGAAATTGAATAAAAAAATTGGTTGAAACTAACGGTTAACTGAACCGATCGATATATATATATTTTGAAATTCAAATTAAAGAGTTTGGCAATCCTTTCTCTTTGAAATTTGAAACTTTCAATTGAAAGTTCAGCAGTGCCAAACTGCCAATTTGACAGTCTCCATCGCCCATTGGTTCTCTTTTATGTTTTATCTTTTCCCCTCATTGCCAATCTGGCAAAGTGGCAGTCTCTCAGTTTTCTACTTTTTTTCTTTTGTCTCTCTCACTCTCTCAGTTCTCTTTCTTCTACTCTTCGTATTCCCCAATCCCCACTCCAGATGGCCTTGGGGCCCGCACCAACCACCAGCACGGAAACAGTTGTAGCCCCAAGCGGCAACACCAGTCCCCGCCTTGCTGGTAAGCAAGCACCAATGGTCCAATGCCAACTACCAGCACAGCTGCACAGCAGCACCAAGCCTGTTGAACAGACTTCTCTCTCTCACCTCCCCTCTTTGTGTCTCTGCTAGGCACCACCTCAAGTTTCAAGCTCTCACTTCAGGCGACAGTCAGCACTGACAGCAACCACCACCACCGACCAGTATTGGCACCAACAGCAACACCATCTTCATGAAAAATTTGGCACTAACAGCAACCACTGACAATTTTAGTTTTTTTTTTTTTGAAGTGCATAAAAAAACCGAAAAACCAAACCGCAGTTAACCGGTTGTATCAGTTTGGTTTCGGTTTGGATATTTAAAAAATCAATCAAGTCGGTTCGGTTTGAAAAAATACCCCACGGTTTAGTTAACCAAACTGTGAACACCCTTACTCCTACAAGGGTGTTTCAGGGTTTAACCTTGTTCAGCGGTTAGACATGCCTTAAACTGACACCTCTAAACCAGGTTTAAAAAAACTATAAAAAGGAGAAATCAGCTTTGATGCAGGCCGATATGCCCCTACTAGCATATTGGCTGTATTGATATTTTGAACCTAAGTTTTAGGCTTTCAGCTTTAAGTGCGAGTATCTTGTTAAGTGGAGTTGCTCTAGCAAAGACATAGGCCCCTTTATGATTTCTAAGAACAAATCAGTCTCCTGAAACTGGTGGTTATCTCTGATTAGTAGGAGTGCAAATAAAAATATGTACAACACAAGTACGTTTAAAAATATTGTATACAAGGTTTTCAACTGAATATTTTTGTATTTGCACACTTTCCAAAAATGTTGGTATACATATATGGTGTAATGTTGATATTGCCATTTGCCATATTGTGCATCGTATCAGTAAGCATGGAAATGTATGCATATTGTGATATGCTTTGAATACATGTGGGTTTATTGTGATATTCTTTGGATACACGTTGATGAGAAAATTCCTACAATTCTTATAAATCATGGTTCAGAATAGGATTGTTCATGAATCGGGCCAAACTGACCAACTCAACTTGATTCGAGTTGGTCAGTTTTGTTAACTTTTCGGTCGGCCTCAGTTTAAAGACATAAATGAATGGTTTTTAAATTTACAAATCGAGCAAAACTGACCCAGACGGTTGTATATAGTGAGATGTGATATGTTTTGTAAAGTATTTTTTCTAAGACATCAGAAGACAATGACATGACCTACCAAGTTTTGTAGGCCTGCAATCCTAGCCCCTACCCCTAGGCCTATTTTTAGGCAAATGTGTACAACTCCTTTCATTGTTTAATTCTTTATCCCTTTTCCATTAAATTTGTATTTTGATATTTGATTAAAACATTCAAATAATTATTTATTATCAAAACAAATGTCGAAAAATCTGTACCAATTGTAATGATTTTCCCTTTTCTTTTTTATTTTCAATTTTCATGTCATTTCATACAAAACCCCAAGCTACAACCTATAAACAGCAAAAATACAAAAAAAAAAAAACAAAAAGTAGTCTCGGTTCGGTTAAAACCAACCTAACCGAGCATCCAACAGCATTATTTTTAATCGGTTTGTGTTAGTTTTGGGTCGGTTTCGGTTGGCTAATAAGCCAACCCGAGATGTTCAGTTTGGTTGCTAAAATAGTATGTAATTGAACCGACCGATCCATGAACAACCCTGGTTCAAAATGTCACATGGCGTATCAAATTGGTTTTTGAAGCTATAAATGTAATACTTTAAATTCAAATAATTTGGTCCTTTTTAATGTTCAGAAAAACAACACATATTGTACCATATTGGTTTTTAAACTATTGTTAAAAAATACAAAACAGTAGTTTCAAATTTTGAAAATGTTCAATATGCAACATCTAGACATTACAAATACATTAATAAATAGGATAAACGGCCTGGGCCTTGTTTTTTTTTTTTCTCAACCTCCGATGTTTTAAAAAGCAAAATATTTTAGATTTCAGACTGTTTTTTAGTATCTCTTATTTTCAGCCTTCATACATCAGACCTAACAACATTGTTATTTTTTGTCCACAAAATGTCCTTTTATGCATTTTATTCATTAGCGTTACACATTTAATATACTTTATGAAAAGTTTATAAATAATAATACTAAAATATTATTAAAATAATAATTATTATTTTCAAAATATTAAAACAATAACATTTTAATAATGTTACTTTAATATTTTATATTATTTTAGTATTCAAATATTATTTTCATTATTACATATTATATTATTTGAATATAATTTGATTATTCAAATAATAAAAAATGTTAACATAAAAGAATATTATAAGAGGATAATATTAGACTATAATTAATTTAGTAATATTATATTGATTTAAATATAATTTGAATATTTGAATATTATTTTACTATCATTCTAAAATACTATTTTAATAATATTTCATATTATTTTGACTTAATAATATTTTATTATTTTATTTTTTACTTTTGACTATTTTAATTAGTATTTCATTGTTTCATTACTAATTATTATTATTACTATTACTATTATTATTATTATTATTATTATTATTATTATCATTATTATTATTATTATTATAACATATTATTTTAATAGCAAAATAATATTCAACTTTATATATTTTGGTAACATAATATTAAAATATAATAACATTATTATTTTATAATATCATTTCTTTTAAATAATAATCAGTACTATTTGATTTTGATATTATTTTATTTTAATATAATTTTATTATTAAAACAATATTATTTTCAACATGGTATTATTATTAAATTACTACATAATATTTTAATAAAAAATAATATTTAACTAATATTAGTATTATAATATCATATTACACATTTTTTATTTTCATAATTGTAAGTACATGTTCAGCACAACTACGATTGTTGTGAATGTATCAAGCTGGAACCACAGAAACACCCACGGCAACACACAATCTGACACAGGTCCGCGATGAAGTCCATAATGCACCATAGACCTACAATGAACCCAAAACCCATCAAACACTCGTGATGAGCTCGAAGCCATTGCATACCTACGACGGATGAAAACATTGGAATCTTTGGTTCGTCCTTGATCATGGAGGATGACTGCTCGTAGAATCAACCTTTCCCCTAAGAAGAACAACACAATAATCTCGACAATGCTAACTCAAAAGTTGAGGACCAGATTGGCCAGGAAACCACCGATCAAGTTGATATCAAAATCTTGGCCAACAAGGTGTATGACTTCGAAATTCATTTACCACATGGATCACTAGTTGCAAATAAATATCAAAATGAAAACAAGTCACAACCTGACCAATGGGGTGCCCAAGTCACAACCTAAGACCGTGATTACTCTGACGAGGAGCTCACAAACCAAGCCCATCGCGGACTTACTGCACCACTAGACACTCAGCACAAAATTCATGCAATGACATAAACACCAACACTTTGCATTCATTCAATGCATTACCAACATGATACCATACCTCAGCAATCCCTGTACTCACCAAGCACCACTTACGCAATACGAGACTACGACAAATTCAAGGTGAAAGGGAATAACAAAAATGCATTAACAAGATGACAATAGATTCATAAGAAAGATCATTTGTGTTAATATTAATAGTTGACATTTACATAGCACAACATAACAAAAATATAGACACATTCATCAAACCTCTCCTTTCGCATCTCAGTGAATTCTCCTAGACTCTCTCTTCTCTCCTGAATCTCCATGATCTCCTGACGCTTCTCACGTAGCTGCGACAATACCGTCTACTAACGAGTGGCCTCATCAAGAAGAGCTGCCACCTTCTCCTTAGCCTTAGAAATATAGACCTCTACAACCTTTAAATGCTTAAGAAGCTCATCCATACTTTATGCAGTCAACGGGCTAGACTCCTTATATCCAGCCTTCCAAAAAACATGGACCATGCAAACCATGCGATCCTGAATCATGTCCATCCAAAACCCATCACAACAAATGAGACACAGGTCTTCAACCAATGAGCAAAAAGAGACCATGACAGCGTCTCAACTGACTATGACATCACAGAGTTCACCAATCCGACTACTGTGTTCAGTGAAGCACTCATAACCACGGTAAGGAACTCAGTAGTAGGAAGCCACCCCTTCTGGATAATCAGGGACACCGTACCCACGACACTATGGGAAACAATGAATAGTTCCCATCTATGGACACCCTGAATAACAATAAGAT